AATAGCTTTGGATCATTTTCCTCAATAAACAAACAAGTATAATGTTTTTGACTTATTTATGTGTGTTCTCTTTATCTAGTTTTAGGACTTGTGTGGAGAACGGATCATATTTTAGGTCATATTTATGCAAAAATATTGAAATGCAAACAGGTTCGTAAACTTTTCAACACCAGTGTAGCATAGACTTAAATTGTATGTGAAGTTAAAACATTAAGGAGGGAGCCATCATGATTTGAATTCTAGTTTTACTTACATGCCAAAGCTGTGTTACTTTGGTATACCTCCAGAATTTAAAAAGAAGATGAGACTGGATGATTATCATGCTTACTAATTCCAAGGCTGTGGAATTTAGTGGGATATCCTGTATTAAGCACTAAATACTTAACTCCAGTATGAACACAGAGAAGGTTGTCTAAACCAATTTTAATGTTATTCAGTAAAAGCCATGAACAGTTACAGAATAAACATTGTTAATATTACTGGAAGAAGTGTCTGAGTTTTATACATATTTCCTTACCATATGAGTTCAAATCAAAAGTTGAAAGAAGACCGAGCAATTCAAAGTTAAGAATGATCTTCAGAGTATAAAATTGATTTCGGTCAAGTGAAGTTAACTGTTATTTAAAAGAAAAGAGTTGGGAAATTTAAATGGGATTATAAACCAACTAGCCTGACTGGAGGGTCTCAGCGTTGCTATTCTCTGGAAGCCAGGAATCCACCCCCACCCCCACCCCCAAATCAACTTCACATAGAAAAGAAAAACCTCCCAGGAGATATAAATAAGTCATAATGCCGCATGAGTTGCTATCTTTCACCCAGCAAACTGTGGGTAGTCTAGCAATTTGTGTCATGGTTCATTAAGCAGTTCATTACATTATATAATCATGGGTTCTCTAAAATAATAATTATAATTATAAATACATCATTGGAAAATAAGAGAGCAATGCCTAATGATGATTATAGCTCCTTATAGTGCAATTTTAGTCTTCTGAGTAGGTGTTATGATAAAATCCCACATTTTGCATAGGTCACTGGAAAATAATACTGGTCTGAACTGATCTGAAATAACACAGAATCTAGGCAGCAAAGGCCTTATTTGATTAAACATGTGAATAAACATTACCTTATTTTTCTTCATGATTTAAAAATGATATATAGATTAGATACAGATCCCCAGTAAAATAATTCCCTCTAAATTCTGAGCTTCCACTGATGCTCACTGCATTTTCACAGATTTTCAGCTTGATTTTTTGCTCTTTGACTAAGACTGCCAACCCATATCCATTTATCTGGGGAGACATTTATAAGCTTAGATTGTTAGATACTGTAATTACCTGCAGGTTGGCTGGTGAGAAAAGGATGCTTGTATTCAGCTCACACATTTCTTCCTCCAGTTAAGCATTTCAATTTAATTCGTTATTTCTTCTTTCGTAAAAAACATATTTTACTATTACATTTGAATCAGCAAATTATGGCTTGGTTCCTGAGATCTTATGAAATGAAGCATCTTAAATGCTCCTGCTACTGGAAGAGAGGGACTCTGTTTAAGCAGTTCCTTTTTTTCCTTGCAGGCCCTGAATATCTGATCCAGAACAGTGGGAGGTACTAGTCTGAAGTGGAGATGGGGGCGAGGAGGGGAACTGCAGAGCCAGGAGTTATAGTATTGACAAAAATCACCATCTTTGACAACAGTTCTAGAAGGACAGCACAAGATTGAAGCCTGTGGTTGCTAACAAATTTATTAACAACATTGTTTGGACCAGCAGCATTTTCAGCTTCTGAGACACCTGAGATATTAGAACAACCTGTTAAATCCTTTAAAAGTAAAAAATCTACTATTAGTTTGTATATATATTTGTTGTCAATAAATCAATTTGATATGTAGATATTAAGGGATGAATGGAATAAAGAATTAGAGGTTTCTATATTGCCTAGATAATGGGAGAATGTCTTAACTTCTATAGCAAGAGTGTCAATGGACCTTAAATTACAACTTATACAAAAAGAATAATATTTAGAATTTATTGGACTCCACTACGTCTCTATAGAAAAAGATTGTCAAAAACAGCATTTTGTTGGAGATGTAATAAGGACAATGCCTCTTTAAACCACTTATACAAAAAGAATAATATTTAGAATTTATTGGACTCCACTACGTCTCTATAGAAAAAGATTGTCAAAAACAGCATTTTGTTGGAGATGTAATAAGGACAATGCCTCTTTAAACCATGTTTTTACAATGCCTTATTAAGTTTAGGGAGAAAGTAGCAGACTATATAAATATGATTGTGCGACAACATTTTCAGAGGATAATATTCTTTTGATCTATATACCTAGTACATGGAATTTGACATCTGGACAACATAAATGGATTCTCCATGCCCTTACTATGGCCAAAAGACTGATACTGCAGCATTGGAAACATAAACATGTGGCCCCATTTATTCAATCGATTGAAGACCTGATTGCACTTGCCACTTATGAGTGAATTGCCTATAGATGTAGACTTCATACGGACAACTATAATGAAATATGGGACTCATTTATACAAAATTGTTGTTGTTCAGTCGTTAAGTCGTGTCTGACTCTTCGTGACCCCATGAACCATATTG